TCTTTATTAATAAGACGTGACTGTCTTCAGAGGAACGTTTCAGAGAATTTTGGTATAAAAGGTGTTTACCTAAAATAGTGATCGGCTGTATTTTAATTTTAAAATCTAAAATAAATAATAATTTGCAATATTTTTATAACGCTTTTGTTTTATAATTCAAATATACTCAGAAAAGAGTACAGAGAAATTCAATCTATGAGCCCAGATTCCCTTAAGAGATGGATTAAGACATAGATGACAACTGTGTAAGCTTTCGTGGCGCGTAAAAATCAAAAAGAAATTTTTAAACAAAACTATGTTAATGAGTAGTTTCTGTTTTGCTTAATGCGACGAGCAAAGGGATAAACTTAACATGCCGTCATCATATTTAAGTAGAGATGAAATTATATTTAAAATGCATAAATTATAATTTACTATAATCTTATTCCAAAGAGGAACTTATCGGTCTGGCGATTTTGTCTGCTGACAAGTGCCATTTCTTTTGTTTTTTTTTTTTTTTTTTTTTTTTTTTTCGTTTGTTTACTTTAAGCAAAATGGCTAAGACTTGGACGGATATTCAAGCAAACATATATTTATTGCTGTTCGTAGTAATGACAATATGAAACCAGTTTAAAGTAATATTTTACAAAAGTTTATTAGAAATTACGATTATTGAAGATTATCAATCGAACATAGCATTTGATTAAAATGCACATACATATTCCTTAACGCTTTATAAGCCCAGCGAGCACAACGAATGAAAGAGATCTCGCAGACCACATAACGTATGTTCACCCAAATTACTACAATACATAGCCACCAGGGGTTTTTCGATTTAGGATAATTTAGCCATGTTTTTCATGCTGCCGATAAATGCATATGCGACAAAACCATTTGAGCACTTTGCCCCGACAACAACGCAACGTATGCATATAATAAACATGCAGAATTAATATGTATAACTCGTTCCTATCTGTGTCGTTCGTTCGTGCATGCATTGGTATACACCCATTGAATTAGTTTGACTTGTGGAAAAAAAATACAATAAAAAAAAACAACAACAAGAAAAAAAAAAAATATTGTTTTCGTGTTTTCAAGCAAGCAAACATCCATACGTCCATATATATAATACATGTCTTAGCTTCAGTTGTCATGTCAATACGCCCTGAGTGCGCGTTCCTTAACAACGTAAATACTATATTTCGTTGCATATAAATTGCAAAATTTATGGCAAATATTCAGACATGTTTCATTCGATGTATGAATGTGCACAAAAGGAATGAATGACAAACACATACACACATATATACACGGGCAAACAAACACGTAAGCGCACCCAGGCACGCATTAGCTGTCAGCATGACAGTCATCCGATACTCTAAAGCGTACGAGCACAAGACAACGCCAATAAGTACTGTGTGCGTAGTACTATGAAAACATGGCCGTCAACCTCAACTTTATTGTTGTAAACGTATATACTAGATTTGCCTACTGACAGCTATGTTGGCGGCTGTGAAATCGAAAATCAACTTGAAACTAGTGTGAACGGTTAAAAGCACTGACACAAAACCAATCACTTCAATTCCATTAGCCAACTATCATAACTCAATAGAGTCCAATATTAATTTAAATTTAACGGAACAAAAAAAAAAAAACAACAAAGATGGGAAAGAAATGCATTTAACACAGAGGAAGACGACTCACAAGTGGTTTGTTCGTTGAAGTAAATAAGAAATTAAAATAAAATAAAAAAAAAAAAAAAAAAACAGAAAGCGACCATATCTTTACAAAGCAAAGTGTAGATGCGGTTGAGGTGAATGACATCGACTCCGCTTTATTGTAATTTACTTATCTTCATAAGCGAAGCAAACACTTGCTGCCCATTTTGTTCGCCATTGTGGTGAAGACAAAGTAATAAATTTTCGATCAACATGATTGGGTATAGATCAGCTACGTCTATGTATATGTGTATGAGTTTTGTTTTTGTTCTTTTTGCAAATTAAAATCCACTCATTTACAGTTTATTGGTTTATTGGTGTTAGCAAAGCAAAGCAATTGATTGCTTGTCACAGCCTTGGCAATGCTTTCCAAACACACAGTGATTTGAAGAAGAATTTATTTCTATTTTTATTTTTATCTTTTATTGCGATTTCAATGCTAATTTCTTTTTTAGCTTACAAACTTCTTTACTATCCGTAAAATATCAATATCGATCATTTTTGCTTTGCTAAATCGAGAGCGAACCGAATTCCTTAGAATTTTTGGGGCTTTTTTCACACCGAATACGTAAACCCTTACGACCAGCGATCATAAAATAGGGCAAATTGAAAATAGGCAAAGTGCATGGACGAAAAAGTCCGATCCAAACAAATTTCAATAGTGTTCGTCACTGAGTTAAAGCATGTCAATGTACTAGACCTTATCGAAATATCTCTAAAATTGCGACCTGTAGTTTGAATTCACACTTGCATGGACAGACCTCAGACGGACAGACAGACAGAAAGACGCAAAAACTCAATACAAGAAAAGAGCACAAGGTAATGGCTGCATATTTAGGCATGAAAATATAAGGGAACAAAGCTCTATTTCTTCTTTCTTTTGCTAGAAGTCTTTTCTGACGCAAAAAAAAAAAAATGATAAGGGAAGCTGTGGCAATCTTCGAATCGTGACAAAATTTGTCTTTTCTTCTTTTGGTTTAGATTGTTTTTCACTGTAGTCGAGAGGAATTTTTCAAACGCATACACCAGCAGTTAAGGTAGTAAGGTGAGAAAAAACAAACAGAAACATCATTGTCTGTCATCATAAAATGTTGCAATTAATGAATTCACTTCCATGCGTCCTTCTCTCTTCCTTGGCAAAATTCCTTCAACAAAAAGGATGTTGTGAGGAGCTGGTCTTTTATGAATAATTTTTTTTTTTAATCAGAAAAGAAACTGCAACACCATACATCGGAACAGAATTTTGACGAGTCATTTATTAAAAAGATTTTCGGTTTTAGATAAGAATTTCTTGATTTAAGTATAAGTTTTTAATATATTAAAGTGGAAAGAAAGAGAGAGAGATAGATAAAAAGATTTTATCGAAATTAATTTTGAGACACAAAATTGACTTTAATTACTTAGAGCTTATGGCCGATATCGTTCGATCGATTAGGTTCAAATATGTGTAAACAAAGTTATGCAATGTATGGGGATAAATGTTTGATGCAGCAAAAAAGTTTGATCGACCGCTATATATACACATTTAGACTTCCAATTAATACAGCTTTAGAATAATGATATTCAATGCTTTAGCCCTTCCAAGGGGCCTGTTACAGGAAAATACGTAAAAAGAATATAGTGAGGCACGCTGCACGGTGCATTTCGTTAAATGCAGTTATTCATGTAATGACCTTTCAAAACAGGGTGTTATATGGGAAGTAGCCGAGAGACTGATCCGAATCACACCATTTTCAATAGCGTTTATCCTCGGGCCTAAACACCTCGATGCACCAAATGTCATCAATATATCTTAAATTTTGATGGTTCTAGGCAGAATGGAAAAAAACAAGATAGGCGGGTGGACAAACGGACAGACAAGCTTTGATCAGTATATAGTAAAAGATGGGTCTATCTTAAATCGTTCTGGGTGTTGCATACATTCGCTCTAGTTCAATATATGCTCGTATGACGAATGGTGTAGGGTGTAACAAAATATAGATATTCTGACCGTGACAATAAAAAAGTATGAGATTCACCTAAGATCACTTAGAAAATTTCGTATAATTTTATTGTATTTTTATTTCTTCTCTATGCTATTCGAGCACTGCTACCATTAATATACAAGCAATGGCATAATAAAAGAAACTTTTCCTCTAAAGTAAATCGAACCTAATCATTGGCTGCCTAAACTAAAGCTTCTTTTACAAACACATAACTTCACTGTTATAAACTCAAAAAAAAAAAAAAAAAAAAAAAAAAAGAAGAGGAATTTTTAGGTTATCTTTATCATGTTTAGCATTATTTTTCGTCTTGAATATGTCTGTCGTACATGTTATAATCTTAACAGGACCCAAAGGAGTTCACAAGAATATTTTATGATGAAAATTCTTTTTCTTATGGATTCCTTTTTTTTTTTACTTACGATATCTTTTGTCAATTTAATGTATTTTTCTTGTGCTCCATCGATAATTTTGTATACGCTTTAGGGAGCTTGATGCGTTTTTGTTCGTTCATGTTTAGTTGTGCGAGCGACTATTTCCATTTTATCCTCCTCGTCGATATACAAACATTGTACATATAAACATAACAACTAGTTGCTAACATAAAATATGAATGTGACGTAATGGGTATTACTGGCTAGCGGTTTCACGTCATTACCATAATGCATGGCTTGTTAAACCGAACTCAAGCATTTAGTGGTTTTTTTGCAGCATGAAAATTTATCTTTGGTCAACGATATCGATGAATATGTATGAAAATGCTTCATTCGTATAGTAAAAGTAAAAATATTTTATTCTTGACCGTTTCATTGGAAATGAGCAAAAAAAAAAAATTCTAATTTTCTGATCCACTTTGCTATCGAGAATTTATGCATATATCTAGCCAAACGCAAGATTTAAGTCATCCAGAGGCTAAAGTCGTAAAAGTCCTCTTAGCCGATCGTTATATTATAAACCAATGCATTCTTCGGTCTTTGATGAAGCTGTCTGAAGAAACTACATATGTTCTTTTTTTTTTTAAAGGCCCAGATAAAGATTAGGACACTTTGATTGAAGGATGAAATTTCTTTTCTAAATATCATCTTCAATTGTTTAACTAAAAAACAAAAAAACAAAAAAAATTGAAAAAAGCAAAATGTATTTTAATGGAACTTCTTCAACCGTCCAATAGGAAGCAGGTGGAAGCAGGCAATTGGTTAAGGCTCTTAGTAAATATATGCATGTAAAAATGAATTTTTTCAAGAGTCATTAAGTTCCCACACATTCTTCTGTTTGCTTATACTAACTCTTTGTTTTGTTTAAATTTCGTTTGTTTCTACAGATAACTGTTTGCTGGTCATTAGTGATGCGGAAATATTTTTTGGACGGATTACGGTTAAAGGTATGTAACGATGTTTGGCTTGTGAAAATATTATAAACTTTTGGCATAACTTTTCAATTCTTCCTTAAGAATGAATGCAAGTAAGAAAGACGTCATAGCCGTATTCCGAACTACATCACAGAGATCTTATGAGTCGCAACTTAATTTTTCTGTTTGTGGTTTGCATGCATAATAACCTTATTTTATAAAAAGGTTGGTGTTGGAGTGTTTTTACATGACCACTCCTTCGGTCCGCCCATGACTTCTGTGCCTAGTGTCCGGACAGAATACACCTGGGAATTAATACGAAATTATTTTGCGGGATACATGACGGGAACTTTTGCCATTTTCTTGCTTACTATTTCAAAATACATGAATTCAGAAAAATTCATATTTTTTATAGCCATGGTCGATGGACAAGGGGTATAGTTATATTGTCAAGACGTTTGCAACGCCCAGAGAATTGACTTAAGCATATTCGGTTTTCCGTTTGTGCGGTTGAGTAATTTCTGTTGTTAACATTCTCCCGTTCGCAAACGGGAATGAAGGTATCTCCTATAACCTTGGGAAGGAAATCGGTCAAAGAACCGCCAACCTGACGATGCAACAAAAACTATGAACACATTTGCTTCCCACGTTTATTATTTGTTAAGCATAAAGTACAACACATACGGCATATAAATTTCCACTTTTATTCTGAAAACAGAAGAGTCAGTCAATCGCGTCTACTCAGTATTATAGAGTGTAAAAATTTAGCGATATTCGGTCACGCCCGAATATATTTAATAGTTTTTTTTGTTGTGGAGTGTAAATGTTGGAAACGCATTAGAAAAAAATAAAAACACACTAAACTAAATTCATTTAACCCTCAGAAGTAAATCTTATGCTAACTAATATTAAAATCTGGCATAACGTAGATAAGGAGAAGTAAAGGGAAAAAATTTAATAATAGTTCATGTACAAATGAATAAGAAAGAAAAAAAAGAGAACATAGACACACACAGAGGCACATCCACAACCAGTGCAGGACCAAACTGCAAGTAAACCCCTAAGCCATTGCAAAAATTCAAACTTTGGCAACCAATACTGTAAACAACACCAATTAATTTTCGAATCATAATCGAATCATAATAATAATAAAATTAAGATTAAAAGTTAGTTTAAAAACGACATAAGCAAATCACATGTATTATGGAAAGTTGTTTTGATAGACTTTAAAGAGTCCGATATTGTGAGATTAAGTGATAGACATCATTTAGCTTTCCGCAAACATCTCTAAACGGGTTAAACAGCTCATAGCTATATTTACGTTGACTCAGCTTAATGAACATAAAGTACATAGAGAAGTGGTTACGGTCATTAAAGTTTATCACACCGAGTAATGTGGACGAATTGATAGTAGCATTAATTAACTTACCTCAGAAAGAGACAGCAAGAATAAATGTATGTTTCTCATGCGACGATCAGGCTAACAGGAGCACCCTATTTTCGTAAAGAAGCAAAGAGACAAGCGTGTCCCAGGCCAAATTGTTAAGGTCAAACAGGAAGAATTGCTTTTGAACTGATTCAATTGAATCGCCATAACACCTACAGAAGGGGACTACACAACCGAGGCTTACTCAAGTATTGGTGTATACACTGTGTATATATTGTATAGCTAGCTAGCAATCCTTCAGCTCTTTGGGCCACGAGATTATTAATTAGAAAAGTATTGCAATTCAATTATGAAGATTTCAAATACTACGACCTCAGGCGACTTTGAGAATGCAATCCCGGCAGATAGCACTACTACCCTGTAATCTACTTCTCTCTACTTCTACTATGTACGAATATGGTTTGAAAACGACTATTCGAAAACTTGCAAACAAGCATTGCCTTCAAAATTCTGTCGAATCATCAGATTCTTTCACGCAAGGATTCGCGTGAGTAAGATGTCATGACTTGGTAAACAAGAATATGAAACCTATTCAAAAAAAGAACGCTGTTAGCACTTGTTTGCAAATCGTGTAATAAACTCACAACCTGACCACATCGGATAAAACTATATATGATTTTTGGCAGATATTTGTAAGACAAGTTTTGCTAATAGTGATTGCTTTCTGTGTTAGACCCCTAACATAGGTCTCTTTTCGGGCATACCAAGCTACTCATAGAGAATATTATATAATCGTTAAGTGTTGCTTTCTCAGAGATGTTCGCTGACATTATTTACAGATGACTTTTCATTTTTGCATTACTTGATGTATCTTGTGATGTGTGTTGTTTTCCCACACTGCATGGGTTCGTCTATACTTTCACTAAGACATTGAATCCGTTCAACTCATTTAATAACTGCTCTCTTCGTGTAATTTACCTTTGCCTGATTTCTATAGAGAGCTGCTTCCAGTTCAACAAATCTCCCTGGGAAGCTTGCCCGTAGGCGATTAAATCAAATCAAAAACAATTCATTATTTAATACGAAAATAAATGAGTAAAGCTCTCGCTTGTATATCTCTACGAGATTTTAATTGAAAAAAAAAACCTTTGCTAACTTTTTATCACACGATTATTTCTGCTGTGTTAAACTCGCGAGTTAAATAAGTTGTTTTACTTAAACTTGTTCTCAATTCTGTTGACGGTTCGTTATGAATATGTTAATCAGTTTTTATGTCATTCAGTATATAAGGCAAATATTTTGTTGAATATCCGTTAGGAAGAGCAGGCATACTAGCCATGCTATGGAAATGAGTTTCGTGACACAGAACGACTTTATTCCGAGTGAAGGAAACTGATTTTCTTTGCCTAAAAGCATCATCAAGCAAATGCTGTATGGAACACGTATTAGCCTACGACGAAGAAATCACACACCTACAAACTGCTTAAGAACCAGTATGAAACCCTTAAAAAAGCGCTTAATTGCTTAAGCTATACCGGACAATAAGTGGGGACCTGTAGTAGGGAAATCTAGTCTAGAAATAGAAAATTATTCCGACGGTCTTAAGCGAAATTAAGAAGAAAAGCGGGCAATATCTTTAAAGATTTTATATAATTTTAGTTTTATCACACTTACCGAAGCAAAGTCGAGTCTTTAACATTCAGCGGAGATTCCATATAAATTTTTGACTTATATATATATATATATATATGTATATATACATACATAAATTTTCTTAATTGCTTGCTATGAGTTGCTAGATGATGAAACGATGTGTGTTGACGTCTGCATCCTCGTAATTCTGAAATTGAATAAAAAAGAAGTTCACATGAGTTATGTTTTATGAGAGGCAATCACTTTCCCAGTTTTACTATAATTTAATCAGAACTCTATATGCAGTAATAGAATTTTTGTGTCAAAGCAAATAAAATTTGATTTTTGTTTGCAAGAAAATATTCTTGAAATTCCTTCCCTATTAGCGTAGGGGCATAACCTTTTCAAAATTGAATTCAATATACGAACAAAGTCTACAACAAACTTAACTTCTCTGGTATTTTATTTTCAAAATTTTTATTGCAAATAAAATTCATTGCTCTTCAAAATTATGTCAAGGTTGTCGGCTACATACAAAAAAAAAAAAAAAAAAAGTTAAATAATCTTAGACTGTACCCATAACAAAAGCGTATTTCCCCCAAACGATGGCGTGCGAAGTACGCGCATTTTACTGCCAAAAAAAAAAAAAGCAAAAAACTGAATAAAAACAAAAATTAGACGACAGGTTAAAATTGCTGTCTCAAGTATCAAAAAAATAACCAATAAATGATAAGCTTATAATTTCTTCAATTTTTTGTCTTTTTTGTCTTTGTTTTTGTTTAATAGTTCGCGGCTACTGGATTTTTAATAAAATATTTTTAAACGAATCTAGTAAAACAATAAACCGAAAGCTAATGAATTCATTAACTTGAAGATGTATTTACGTTAAAATGACTTAGAAATGCTTTCATTGATACCTTGAATACCTTGAGGAGCACAGAGGGATGTGTCATTTTAATCGCAATTAACGGACATAATGCTTTAGTTCGAAGTTAAGACTACTTACCTACTCGGGGAGCTTTGATGTGCATCCTAACCTTTAGTTACTTAAGCGGATATGTGCTTACATCTGAGGGTTAAGAAAAGGTCTTGTAATCTTTGTGTTAGTAGTAATAATTAAAAGTTGATATCCATTTGTGACTTAAAACCATTGGAAAGGAATGGCAAAACTTACTAAGCACTGAGTATGAAAAACTTATGTCTAAAGCGAACATCATTTCTTCCGCTTTTCCTTGCCCTGTCACAAAGTGGAAGTACCCCAATTTCATCATTCTGATGCTCACCGGCTACAAATGTCTGCGCACTCCGTCTTAAATTCTACGTCAAATTAATTTGTATATCCGCACGTCTATCCTTGCAACTACGGAAGTCGTCAAAATTGAGATAAAAATCAAAGACTTGGCAGAGATATTCTTAATTGAATTCCAAATGTTAAGTTTGAAAATGGGCATGGCACCTTGCACAGATCCACACTTTGATTAGCTAAAAGAGTGGCAACCTTTTCTCCTTTATTCCATTTGTTCCAATGGTGGTCGGTCGTCACAATTTTCTATTTTCCGTTTCATGTTCATCTAAAGAAGGAGTAAAAAAATATTTCTGAATATTTAAAATGTTATTTGCATGATTTTGCTTGTAAAACATGTGTTTAATGAAAAATTTTATTCTTCTTTAATATGAAACATCAAAAAGTGCTGTGTGTTGAAAAAAATAAAAAGAATAAAAACTGAAAAACAATGAAGAAAATGTGCGTTCATCCCCCCTCTTTGTTCGCTTTTATTAATTTTCCTTATAAATCTAATTCAGTAACAAAGTCACGTTCGAGCATATCACCTGCGCAGAAATGTAAATATGATGCCATGAAAAAAGTAAATTGCATAACCCAACGAAAGATCGCAATATTAGATTTTCATTTCGTCTTAGCTGCGAACACACACGCATTCATATATATGTATGCGTGTGAATATGTGTTTAATAATGCCTTTCCATAGATTTAGCGAAGAAGTTCCTGAGAAGA